CTTTAGACACGTTTGTCTGGCATTTCATGCTGTTCTTTAAAATAGTCCTATGATGCACAATTTGGTACTCAAGCACTTAACTCAGTTCATTCTTCTATCTATGTTGAATTATTCTGATAATTTGATTGGCTATTCTGTCCCTCCCTTTGTAAGCTTGGGTATTCCCCATGTGTATATGCTGCCATGATTAGCCAGGAAAGTGGAAAATTTATTCATACTTACCGTAATTTTCTTTTCCTGGCTATTATTCATGGCAGCATATACTTCCCACCCATTAATGTCTCTATTTATGTACTGTAGAGCTTGTAAACTGACTGAGGACCTTAGGGATGGAGCCTCCTTTTAAAACCTTGGTGGTTTTCCTGTCCTATCGGCTGTAGGGGAGGAGCTAACCCATGTGTATATGCTGCCATGAATAATAGCCAGGAAAAGAAAATTACGGTAAGTATGAATACATTTTCCACTGTTTTAAGCTGTGTGTTAAGAGACATCCGGAAATCCGCACAAATCTGTATCTGTATCTGTTTTCTCACTAGCCCACTCACTATTGTGAACCCATGAGATGATATTCAGCTCCTCTAATCTCCTCAATTCTGCTTCCACTCCAGTCCTTAGAGCAAAAGGCACCCTTCTTGCTTTAAAAATTTTTGGTGTTGCTCCTTCCTTTAATTCTAAGGAAACTTGTTGTCCCTTTACAGTCTCCAATTGGCCATCAAACACTGGTGCATACTTTTCCTGTAATTCCCTAATCCAGTCAAGTCTGGTCTGATTTTCATTCAACACATTACGTGGATACTTATGCACTTGAGGCATCTGGAGAGCCTTTATCCACTCCCTACCAAAAGGTGGAGGTCCTCCAGATATAGAGACAGGGCCGGACTGGCCCACCGGGATACCGGGAAATTTCCCGGTGGGCCGCGGCACCTGGGGCCGGTCTGACAGCTCCTGTGATCCCGGTGGCCGTGTGTGAGCTGTGCGGCCACACATAGCCCCATGGGAGCCAGGGGGAGGCAGGCGGCCGGCTCACACATGGCCGCCCGGGATCATTTAAAAAAAAATAAAAAAATTTGCAGCGGGGGCAGAGCTTACTGTGCGGAGGCGGAGCTTACTGTGCGGCGGGGCCCGGCTAATTGCAGCATGGGAAGCAGGAAGGAGTCCCTGCTTCCCCCAACAACAAGCCTCCAGGAGCTCCAAGCAGGAGGTAAGAAGGAGGTCAGTGTGTCTGTGACTGTGACTGTGTGTGTGACTGTGACTGTGTGTGTCTGACTGTAACTGTCTGTATGTGTGTGACTGTCTGTATGTGTGTGACTGTCTGTGACTGTGACTGACTGTCTGTGACTGTGACAGTGTGTGTTTGTGTGTGACTGTGTGCGTGTGACTGTGTGTGTGTGTCTGCCTGTGTATGTTACTGTCTGTGTGTGTCTGTCTGTTTGTGTGTGTGTAACTGTCTGCCTGTGTGTGTGTGGCTGTCTGTATGTGTGGATGTTTGCCTCGGTGTCAGTGACTGTCTGCCTCTGTGTGTGTGCGCACCTGCTAGTGAGGGAGCCTCTGTGTGTGTGCCTGCTAGTGAGTTTGTGTGTGTGCCTGCTAGTGAGTGAGCTTGTATGTGTGTCAGTGAGCTTGTCTGTAGGGATCATATGTGTGTGTGTTAGTGAGCTCTTGTCTGTAAGGAGCATGGGTGTGATCGTGGGCTTGTCTGTAGTGAGCGTGTGTGTCAGTGAGCGTGTCTGTAGTGACCATATGTGTCAGTGAGCTTGTCTGTAGTGAGCGTGTGTGTCAGTGAGCTTGTCTGTAGTCACCATATGTGTCAGTGAGCTTGTCTGTAGTGAGCGTGTGTGTCAGTGAGCTTGTCTGTAGTGAGCATGTGTGTGTCAGTGAGCTTGTCTGTAGTGAATCTGTGTTAGTGAGCTCTTCTGTAGGGAGCATGTGTGTGTCAATGGGCTTGTCTGTAGGGAGAGTGTGTGCGCATCAGTGAGCTTGTCTGTAGTGAGCGCGTGTGTGTGTGTGACAGTGAGCTTGTCTGTAGTAAGCTTGTGTGTGTATCAGAGTTTGTACTAAATTTGTGTGTCTGTCAGTAACCTTGTCTGTGTGTGTCATTGAGATTGTCTGTCAATGAGCCTATTTGTGTGCATCAGTAAGATTGTCTGTGTCTGTGTGTGAGTATGCTTTACTGTATAATTTAATTACCCTGAAAGGACTAATATTTTGAATTAGAAGAAGAAATGTATCAATATATATATTAAAGGACCACTCTAGGCACCCAGATCACTTCAGCTTAATGAAGTGGTCTGGGTGCCTGGTCCAGCTAGGGTTAACCCATTTTTTCATAAACATAGTAGTTTCAGAGAAACTGCTATGTTTATGAAAAAATGGGTTAAGCCTTCCCCTATTTCCTCTAGTGGCTGTCTCATTGACAGCCACTAGAGGCCCTTGCGTGCTTCTCACTGTGATCTTCACAGTGAGCGTACGCCAGCGTCCATAGGAAAGCATTGATAATGCTTTCCTATGTGACCGGCTGAATGCGCGCGCAGCTCTTGCCGCGCGTGCGCATTCAGCCGACGGGGAGGAGAGAAGGAGGATTGGAGGAGGAGAGCTCCCCGCCCCGAGCGCTGGAAAAAGGTAAGTTTTTACCCCTTTTCCCCCTTCCAGAGCCGGGCGGGAGGGGGACCCTGAGGGTGGGGGCACCCTCAGGGCACTATAGTGGTCCTTTAATATATAACACCCTACATAGCACAATGACTTATGGGGCTGGCATAGATTTTTTTCCAGGGCTGCTTCGTATCCCCAGTCCGGCCCTGTATAGAGAGATAGTTTCTTCTTACACTTGTTGAATGGAACTGTGACTGTCACACAACCCACTGGTATTAACAGCTCTTTAGAATATATCTGCAGTCTCGCTGTTGTCTGAATATTGGCCTATGTATTTTAAGGCGTTTCCAGTCTGTCAAAGAAATCACTGATATAGCTGCACCTGTGTCCAAATCCATAGTCAGTTCCTTTCCATTTACAACCACCTGAACTGTGAATACAGCCAGATAAGAACCAATTTTATATATTTTTAACCCCTTAAGGACCGAGGACGGTTCAGGACCGTCATCGGCATTTTCCCATTGCCGACCGATGACGGTCCTGAACCGTCCTAGCGGTCCTAATTACTTACCGGATCGCCGTTGTTCCCCCGGCGGCGATAAGCGGTGCTCCCGTTGTGGGGAGACTGCCTGCAGCCCAGACAGTCTCCCCACACTGGATTAGGACCCCTGTGGCCATGTGATCGCTCAACACAGCGATCACATGGTCAAAATAGGTGTCCTAGTGTCTGCCTGCAGGGGGACTGCAGTTAAAATGTTTATATATATATATATATATATATATATATATATATATATATATATATATATATATATATATATATAAAATATAGACATATATTATATCTATATAATATATATCTATATATCATATATATATATAATGTCATACTAAGTGTATTTTTATATTAATATGTACTTATATTAATATAAAAATACACTTATAATTAAATTACACACTATATATATATATATATATAATATATATAATAACTATATATATTGTGTGTATATATATATATTATAAAATATAAATAATAAGTAATTTTAATTAAATTAAATTTTTTAAAAATAATAATAAAAATTGAAAAAAATTATATATGTATATGAAATTTTATTCTAACTGTATTTTAAAATTAATATATATTTATATCAAAATACACTTAGAATGAATTTGTATATATATCTATGTATATATAAATAAAAATAATACGAAATATACATATGTCCATATACAAAATTACATAAATAATGATATAAATATACACATAGACTTCAAATATATAAATATGCATATACATTTAAATTCTATGTGAGTATTTATGTAATATTTTTACATAATTAAGTAATTTTATTGATTGCAATTTGAGGGACCTGCCTGCCAACCCAGGCCGAAAGTCCAGAGAATTTAATTTGCTATCACTGTATTTTACCCTGTAACGTTCTACGACACCCTAAAGCCTGTACGTGGGGGGGTACTGTTTTACTCAGGAGACTTCGCTGAACACAAATATTAGTGATTCAAAACAGTAAAACATATCACAGCGATGATATTGTCAGTGAAAGTGACTTTTTTTGAATTTTTCACACACAAACAGCACTTTTACTGATGATATAATTGTTGTGATATGTTTTCCAGTTTTTAAACACTAATATTTGTGTTCAGCGATGTCTCCCGAGTAAAACAGTACCCCCCATGTACAGGTTGTATATCATTTTTTAAAGTTACAGGGTCAAATATATGGGTCAAATATTTTTACATTGAAAATGGCAGGTTGGTTACGTTGCCTTTGAGAGCGTATGGTAGCCCAGGAATGAGAATTATCCCCATGATGGCATACCATTTGCAAAAGAAGACAACCCAAGGTATTGCAAATGGGGTATGTCCAGTCTTTTTTAGTTACCACTTAGTCACAAACACTGGCCAAAATTAGCGTTCAATTTAGTTTTTTTACTTTTTTCACAAACAAACAAATATGAATGCTTACTTTGGCCAGTGTTTTCGACTAAGTGGCTACTAAAAAAGACTGGACATACCCCATATTGAATACCCTGGGTTGTCTACTTTAAAAATATGTACATGTGGGGTGTTATTCAGAGATTTATGACAGATAATAGTGTTACAATGTCACTATTGATAAATTTTAAAAATGTATGTTTTGAAACCGCAATATCCTACTTGTACCTATAGCCCTATAACATGCAAAAAAAAGCAAAAAAGCATGTAAACACTAGGTATTTTTAAACTCAGGACAAAATTTGGAATCTATTTAGCAGTTTTTTTCATTCGCTTTTGTAGATGAGTAAAAGATTTTTCAAGTAAAAGTCAAAAAACATGTATTTTTTTAAATTTTTCATCATTTTTAAATTTTTTTTAAATTAAAATACATGAGATTATATAAATAATGGTATGTAAAGAAAGCCCCTTTTGTCCTGAAAAAAACAATATATAATTTGTGTGGGAACAGTAAATGAGAGAGCGGTAAATTACAGCCAAACACGAACACCACAAAAGTGTAAAGAGGCCTGGTCGCAAAAGTACAACATCGCAAAAACAGTCCAGTCCTTAAGGGGTTACATTTCGTACAGGAAATTGTTCATCCGAATCCTCAGAAGTCTCCTGCATTTGTACTCTATAGGCATTCTTTGCTCTGTCTCTCAAGCGATTACTGCCTCTCTCTGCTGTGGATTTACACACCCTTTGTAGGTGACACTTGGCATCCTTGAATCTGTATGCAGTTGCAACATGTGTAGCAGCTCCGCAGTGATAACATTTGTAATGTGAATGTTCCTGTTTTGAAAGTCTCTTTCCCTGTGGTACACTCTGTGCTCTAGCATCTAATTGTAAAACGTCTAGCTCTGCCTCCTGTGTGTTGTCCAGTCTGCTGTGTAATAGATTAGCATCCTTAGAGGCTTGTTCTATAATGCCTGCCATGTTCATTGCTTTTTTAAATGTTAAATCTTCTTCTGTAAGCAGTCTCCTTAGCACTGCATCACTTGCAATGCCCATTACAAACTGGTCTCGCAGAGCAGTGGGCAGGTAGTCCCCAAAACAGCAGGTACTGGCGAGTTTCCGTAACAAAATGGCTAATGCTGAAACTGATTCACCAGGCTCTTGTCTTCTTTTATAGAATTTAAATCTCTCTGCTATCTCTAGTGGTTTTAGTTAGAAATGGCTAGTTAACAGAGTAATCAGACTTGCCAATGGCTTGCTGGCAGGTTTCTCTGGGTGCAAGAGGCTTCTTAGCGTATCATACGTTCTGGCTCCTATAACTGTTAGGAAAACAGCGACCTGTTTATTGTCAGGAATGTCATTAGCTGTGAAATATTGTTCAAGCCTTTCAACCCGAGAGGCCCATAAATCCGAGTCAGGATCAAAGTCCTTTATAGTGCCAATGGCTGCCATGTCAGTTAGGGTTCTACAGCCTCGTCGCCATTGTGATGTTTTGTACAAATCAGCCAATAATTCCTGTATAACAAAGTACTTACTTTATTGATACATATATAACAGCATCTCCATATTGCTACCTTGTTACACAGTGTTTCAAATCCCTCGAACATTCCACCAACTGCCAACAGGAACAGGAAGTAAAGAACCAAAAGAAAGGAAGTACATCATTCACAGCCATCAACAGCCCAACTGCCCAATGCCCATACATCACAATATATACACTCATACACTCACACACTCATACACAGCCCAACTGCCCATACATCACAGGGGCACAGTATCTGTGTGTTACCCAGGGCACAGTATCCGTGTGTTACCCAGGGCACAGTATCTGTGTGTTACCCGGGGAACCGTATCTGCGTGTTACCTGGGGCACAGTATTTGTGTGTTACCCGGGGCACAGTATCTGTTTTTTGATCCGGGGCACAGTATCTGCGTGTTACCTGGGGCACAGTATCTGCGTGTTACCTGGGGCACAGTATCTGCGTGTTACCTGGGGCACAGTATGTGCGTGTTACCATGTGGCATAGTATCTGCATGTTACCCGGGGCACAGTATCTGTGTGTTACCCGGGGCACAGTATCTGTGTGTTACCCGGGGCACAGTATCTGTGTGTTACCCGGGGCACAATATCTGTGTGTTACCCGGGGCACAGTATCTGTGTGTTTTCCTGCGTACAGTATCTGCGTCTTTTCCTGGGCACAGTATCTGCGTGTTATCCGGGGCATAGTATCTGCGTGTTACCCGGGGCACAGTGTCTGCGTGTTACCCGGGGCACAGTGTCTGCGTGTTACCCGGGGCACAGTATCTGCGTGTTACCCGGGGCACAGTATCTGCGTGTTACCCGGGGCACAGTATCTGCGTGTGTAACGGCTACCCTGGTAGAGAGAGGGTATCGGCCGTTGGAGACGTCCTTTTTCCCTGCAAGCTGCTGTGGAGAAGTAAACTGGTATAATCCCATCTACGATATCCAGAGTAAAAGTCAGGTTCAGGTGTAACAGGAGCAGAATAACATTCCCAAATAATCCCCTTCCAAGAACGAGACAAGGCTACGTTTTGAAGGGTCAAGAAGATCTGAGGTCTGGGAGAACCAGCCTGCTTTTTATTAGGAACAAGTACACACAGGACACTCCCAGGGGGAGGATGAAAATAACCAATTACACACAGGGTAACACCCCCACGTCTCCTCCCCTCAGATAAACACATAACATAATTATAACGTACCATTTTTCACCCTAGTTCTGGATGTACCCCAAAAACAGGGGGTACACCTTTAAGTCCAGTACCGCTTGAAAGGTCTTGGTTAGGGGAACAATCTGTCGAAGTTTCAGCCCATTCGGTTATGGGGTTCGGGAGTTATGGAGGTTTGAAGTTTTGACCGACTGCACGGATTTTCTAGCCGAAAATAGTTCCACAAGTTTTGGCCCTGCAGTCGGTCTCTGTTCGCCGGTTACAAAAGACGAAATTCTTGCCATCCACAACTATCTCCGAGTTCGCTGGATTCCCCATAGCTGATTAAGTGAAACTACCGAATGGCCCGTGATTCGGTAGTTTCCGTGCGAAGTTCTGGTTGTATGGAGGTCTCAGCGGTGTTCGCCTGTTTGCGTATCCGATTTTAGTTCCACGCGTCGACGGGCAACCACCGCTGTTCGCACGTAAAATGGCCGCGGCCACGTGTAAAGTGCCGAAATGCCGGCCATCCATACTTAACACAAAGAATTCGTCTGAAATCATACGAACGGCTGTATTCCCCAGTAATGGTATTCCCTTGCAATAATTTCGACATTTTCACTGTTTTAGTCCACAGGGCTTTGGTGCTGGTGAAGTCCTGTTACACTGCTCCCCTTTTGTGGAACACCCCGGCAGACCCGGATTGATCCTTTTCGGGTCAACTTGGGGCTGTCCGGTCCATTGTTAGGGTAATAGTTCTGTTTAAACAATAATAACAATAATAAAAGGCTGCGCCAATAAGAGAGTAAAAATAGAGTGACTAAGAAAAAATGTCCAACGTAATAGATAAAAATAAAAAATAAAAGTTCAACTTAAGTGTCCTTGCGGATAGTCTTTATAGTAAGTGTTGCAGCAGTGCAACACTTACTATAAAGCTTATCCGCAAGTAAGGTTAAGTTGAACTTTTATTTTTTATTTTTATCTATTACGTTGGACATTTTTTCTTAGTCACTCTATTTTTACTCTCTTATTGGCGCAGCCTTTTATTATTATTTTTACTGTCTTGTTTTAAAAGGGCTTGGAGGGTTTCCCTTTTTAAGGTTGCTGCCTGTTTATTAATTAGCGCTGTCTCTCCTTTCCATATACTCCTTAATAGTTCTGTTTGTCTGGACAGGCCATCGGCATTTCCATTAAATTTGCCAGGACGGTATTGGATAGAGAAGTTATAGGGTTGCAGTGCGAGGCTCCATCTTAATAAACGTCCATTGTCTCCAGCTACTCTATTCAGCCATACCAGAGGGTTATGGTTGGTGATTAGAGTAAATTCCTGCCCGTACAAATATGGGGTGAGTTTCTTTAGTGCCCAGACTAGGGCCAAGCATTCCTTTTCCACTGCCGCGTAACTCACTTCCCTAGGTAACAGTTTTCTACTGAGATACGCGACAGGGTGCTCGGTTCCATCTTCCCCGACCTGGCTTAGAACTGCCCCCAGTCCATACATGGATGCATCTGTATGGACGACAAATCTTTTGTTAGGGACGGGGGCAGACAGGACAGGTGCATGAATTAGAGCATTCTTTAGGGCTTGAAAGGCGGTTTCACAGGCGGGAGACCACAGGACTATCCTAGGCAAGTTCTTTTTGGTTAGGTCTGTCAAGGGTTTTGCGATGGCGCTATAGTCTGGGACAAACCTCCTATAATATCCTGCCGTCCCCAAAAATGCTAAGACCTGGGTTTTGGTGTGGGGTGTGGGCCAGTTAGCTACCGCTTCAACTTTAGCGGGTTCTGGGCGCTGCTTCCCACATCCCACCCGGTGTCCCAGGTACTGGACTTCGGCCATGCCGAAGTTACACTTCTCTGGTTTCAGAGTCAAGCCTGCGGCTCGAATCTGATCCAGTACGGCTTCGACATGCTTTAAATGCTCCCCCCAGGTTTCGCTATAGATCGCAATGTCATCCAGGTACGCGCAAGCGAAATCCTGGAAGCCATCAAGGAGGCGGTCCACTAAGCACTGGAATGTAGCCGGGGCGTTTTTCATCCCAAATGGCATGACTTTGAACTGGTACAAGCCAAATGGGGTGACAAAGGCCGACTTAGGGATAGCCTCCTTGTCCAGGGGGATCTGCCAATATCCTTTGCACAAATCGATGGTGGTCAGATAACGCCCCCTGGCAATGCGATCTAATAGCTCGTCTACTCGGGGCATGGGGTAGGCGTCTGTCACGGTTCTGTCATTGAGACGTCGATAATCGACACAGAACCGAGTGGTTCCGTCCTTCTTGGGAACTAGAACCACCGGGGAGGCCCACGGACTGTCTGAGGGCTCTATCACCCCTAGTCTTAACATTTCTTGGATCTCCTTCCTCATCTCCTCTTTTACTGCCTCAGGGATCCTATAGGGAGTTTGTCGGAGAGGGGTTTGTCCTGGTGTCTCTACATAGTGGGTTGCTAAGGGAGTGTACCCGGGCTCTTGGGAAAACGTCAACCCTTTCTCAGTCAGCAGCTGTCGGATCTGTCCCTTTTCGGCGGGAGTTAACCGCTCCCCTAGCTGTACGGTATTGAGTAGGGTTTTAGGTTCTGGGTTAGCTAATAGGTCGGGTATGGGTAAGCTGTCAGGGTCTTCGGTAGCGGGTATGCATATGGCGGCTATATCCTCGGGTCTTTCCTGATATTCCTTTAATAGATTTACATGAAAGGACTTCCGGATCCTTTCATCTTTGTTGCTGGCGATTACGTAGGTGGTGTCACAGACTTGTGCTACCACTTTGTAAGGGCCCTGCCAGGAGGTCTGGAGCTTATTCCCTTTGACAGGTCTAAGTACCAGCACCTTCTGGCCTACTTGGAACGTTCTCTGGCGGGCGCCCTGATCGTACCAACGTTTCTGGTGCCCTTGGGCCGCATGGAGGTGGTCCCGTGCCATCCGGGCTAACTGCTCCATACGGTCCCGCATTTCTAATACGTATGGCACGATGGGTACACCGTCGTGTTCTGTCTCCCCCTCCCAGTGCTCCCGGATGAGGTCGAGAGGTCCTCGTACTCTCCGGCCATAGAGCAGTTCAAAGGGAGAGAACCCTGTGGATTCCTGCGGCACCTCCCGATAAGCGAACAGGAGGTGCGGC